GACGACCCGGCGCCTGCAGAGCACCCAGCGCAGCAGCGCCCAGCGCAGCAGCGGCAGCAGCAGCACCAGCAGCAGCAGCACCAGCAGCAGACCACCGGAAGCCCGGCTAGCTTTCGTTCACCCCCTCTGGCCTCAAGTGAGACTAACATAGACAAACATTTTTTCATGTGCTTTATACAGATCGACGGGACGCGCAACAGTTTGCCCTTTCTACTTATCATATTTATAATATGTAATATATATGCATATATTAGTATACTACATGACTACATATATACATCTCAATATATCTAAATGCAAGGGAAATCTCTTTCAACCGCTTCGTTCAACTGTCTTCCACTGCTTCGCGCGGTTTCGCCCGCTTCGCCGGCGCGGCTCGGGGCTCGGCGCCCTCTAGGCGTGCGGCCTCCTCCGCTTCTGTTGTGTCCGGGCCGTCGTGTTGGGGCGGAGGGCGGTCGTTGGAGGCGCCGGTCGTTGGAGCGTTTGGATTGAGAGGAGTAGATGGCACAGACCCCAGGTGGTTTATATGGACCCCCATCTGTCTAGGACATGGGGTTTGTGCCATCTACTCTGAAACCACTTTGTGTTCTGCCGAGGTCATGAAGATGATCTCGCCCAACTTTAGCATCATTTTCCAGGACACAGCGCGGCATGCTGGTTATTGGATGCTTGGTTTTGTGTTTACCAGCTGGGCTTACTTCCTTTTCCTGTTACTGTAGGTTCAGTCATCTTAGTTTTGCAAACTAATAGGTCTATAGCCATCCATGCGGCTGAATATCGACACCACTAATTATAAAATAGACTTGTTCTGTTCCTTTTGGTGTGTGTGATTTTAGAACCTGACTCAATTCCATGCTTTTGACTCCACACCTATCCCCTTGAACCTTTTGGGTGGGGCATGTTTCAGCAGGATCTCCAGCTCACCATGCTGGGCTGTCCTGCCTCGGCGAGGCTTAGCCGGTGAACAGATTTTCGGGGAGGAGATATCGGGGATGAAGCTCTAGATCTAGGAGGTCCTAAGAAGAGATCACGAAGAAACCAACATATGATCATTATGTAAATTTAAGTGGAATAGTAATAAAGGAATATGAACATAATCATGAACGTTTTAGCCACCAAAATTAATATGAATTCCTGGAATATTTTTTGTGGACCTATCATCATATTTTTAATAAACATAAATCCCAATATCAAGATAATGATGAGGAACGTGACATCTTATTTTCAGGCTTTAGCAAAAGGTAGTGATAGAATACAAAAGCCAGAAAACATATTTGAATTGATATCAGCATTTTTTCTAATAGATCTTTGTTCTCCATGGGGGTCGTACGAGGTGCGCAAGTCGATCGGAACACTCAAGGACACCCAAGGACATCCTTGAGTGGGTGGCAACATGTAATTAAGCTGAGGGTCCGTGAGTGTCCCGATCAGATTGCTCCCGGATTGCATGCCCTCTGGATTTCTCAGCGCAAAAAATGCTGATGACTGATAATACGTTATTCATGGAAAATGCCAAATTGATTCGAATTGGTTAAGATATTTTCACGTGCATTTTCCTTTCTTACCATTTGCATGTTCTATTTTTTTTGTTTATTTGTTCATCATCTCTTGGTTTATATCCAAGGAAGGGGAAACAAATTAACTAATGCAAATGGCATGAATATATTTAACAAGACACATGAATGAACATATTTAATACTGTAGACGATTGATAAAGAACTTCAAACCATTGTACTAATTTAATTCTGTAGCCTTACGAGGTGGTACAGAAGGATTGGCAAAGAGAGGCAAGACACTTTGAGCAGGCTTCGATTGAGCATGGAGAAGCCAACATCACAAATGACAACTCAAGCCCTGGATGAGTTCCAAGCAGTTCCAAGATTCTTCGCCCAGATGAAACATCATGCGCTTGGGCCTGTATCCTCATGTGCCGTCTCGGCCAGTATCCTCATCAGCTGCAGCCTCCCAGAAGCTGAGCATCGGAGCATTCAGGTGCCACACAGCTGGTGGCCCAGCAAACTGGGAGGAAGGTTGAAGTGTTTTTTGGATTTTTGTTGGAGGATTGCTTTCATTTGACCTTGCTATTGACTATGGTAGGGCATGAAGAGCACCTTTTTCCTTTCGCGGATGATTTGGGAACACGATTCTCAACCAGGGTGATTTGCTGATTTGGGGGAACTGCTTGGTGGCCTCCATCGCACATGTGAGTGAAATCGCGAGATGGAAACTGTCGTGCTCAACGGGCCTGACCAACGGCTCGAAGGTCAGAGGGTCGGTCGATCCATTTCGTGTCCCGAGAAGCTTCTAGAAGAGCGAAGACACCGCGATGAAAAAAACGGATGTGGGTCATGGATGGCCTCCAACACAGGGCGCGTGTCGGGATTCTGTCAAATCATTGCGGAGACCCTTGCTCTTGATTCCTATGATTCCTGTCCCATTCGGGCGGTTTCAAACGGCGTTCGATGGTTGAACCCTCCTCACACCCACCCTCAAACACCTCAGACCCGCTCTTTGCTGCCCGGAACCTCGCCTGACAGAGTCCTTGTTCTGAGGCCCTGAGGGCGCGTGGTCCGGCCCCTTTGTGGGGGGCCTTGGGATATGTTGGGGGTTGACATGAGGCATGAGGGGTCACAACAGGTGCATTTGGGAGATTGATGGAGATTGAATTGCCCAGTTCACCCCAAACAGAGTCTAAAGTCATCTAGAGTCTTGGGAAACCCTCAAAGATGTCCAGACTTTTTAGATTACTTGAACGCCTCCGGCGCGCGTTTCACGGTCCGCGTTTCACGGTCCACCGACTCCGACCATTCACTATATGTAAGACCGTGACATACAAAAATGGCTTGGAACCGACCGAACTCGTTAAAATGGGATGGATCCGTGGTCTCCACCCCAGCCACCCCAGCCTCAGGTTCTCCACCTCATCCTCCAGGCGGATCCGAACCGCACCGCCTCCGCGGAGCGAGCGCACCGTGAGGTTCTCACGATTGAGACGAGCCTCGCGGACGTGTTGAAGGCTGCCCGGTGAGGGGTTGGAGGAAAGGGCTAGCGGCTATATTAGGATATGTTAGGGTGGGTTTTCATTGAAGTGACCAGCAATCTCCCCTTCGGGAGCTCCAAGATGGCAAGTTAAGTTGCAATTCTTTGGCCAGCCATCTTGGAGACTAGAGCTGGTAGACCAGCCCCGCATTTTTAACCAGCTCCAGTCCTGGCTCAGTGGCAGTGGCTGTGCAATTGTTCGTGCCCTTCTCTTCGAAGCAGCTCCAAGTTCGTGTTGCAAAAAGCCATCAGACTTTCGAGAAGAAAGCGTCCAGTGGTTTCAGAGGTTCGATGGCACTGGCACCCCAAGTCCATCTAAACCACTGAACTTGGGTGTCCTTGCGCCCTATTCTCAACCACGAGACCCCCTTCTACTCCAAGAGGCCTCTGGGGCGTTTGCGTCTGGTCCATCTGTAGATCTTTGATGGTCTTTGGTGATGTCCAGACGTGAACATCCCCGACCCGCCAGAGCGCCACCGGAGGCGCCGCACTTGGAGCACTTGAGCTTCGTCGTCCTGGACGAGACCAGCGTCCGCCAGGGGGAGGCAGTCCTGGAACGATCTTTGACCTCTGACACTTGGAACCGGGGTGCCTGAACTCCGCCCTTCAGGCACTCTTGGAGTTCCGCAAGGCCTTCAACACGCGGGCGGACACCATCGTCAACTTCAAGGTGCCTCAGAACCGGGTCCCGAGCCGATCTGGACCGAGCAACGTGTTTGGCCAGATAGCAACGCTGGTGTGAGGATGGTGCCCAGACGCCCAGACGTCCTCAGCTTTAGGAGGTTACTGTAAGGAAAAAGACGATCACAATGGCCGATGAGCGGAACATGACCCGAGGGAGTCCAATGACCAAAAGGTAATGGCTCCTTTGAAGACTGTAAGACAATGACCAAAAGGTAATGGCTCCTTTGAAGACTGTAAGACAATGACCAAAAGGTAATGGCTCCTTTGAAGACTGTAAGACAATGACCAAAAGGTAATGGCTCCTTTGAAGACTGGTTTTCAGAACGCGAAGTTCAGACCTGAGCATCAACAAGTTTTCCGTGGAAGAGGCGCCGTATACCAGGTGCCAGTCACCTTCACCTGCACAGAAGGGACCAGCGAGTGGGCCCAGGCACGCAATCCAGGGTGTGGCATGATTTGCATGAGAGATTGGTGTGTGTGGGGACGGGGGTGGTGAGATTGCTGGCTTTGTTCATAGTGTGGGCCCGATGCAGATGCAGTATCAAACTGCCTTGCTATGTCTTGCTAGATGGGCTATGACTGATGTTATAGTTGTTATGGCACCAAGTAGCGATACAGCAAGGACACACTACAGCCAAAGAGTTCTACATTCTGGCTATAGTGTACTTGTCCCAGGCTTTTACCTTCAAACCTTCAGCCGGGGATGCTTCATCCCTCGAACCTACACCGCAGAAACCTAAACGCCCCTCGAACCGAGGAACCCATGGGCGCCGTGGGCGAATTGGAGGGCTCCTTGCTCTACCGCAACTTGCCGGCGTGGGCACTGAGACGGCGGATGGGACCTAGACATCACAGGGGATGGAGGTGAGAGGAGGTTTGGAACCAACAAGGTGACGGGGGTTGAACACCTCACCAGGTGGGATGCTCAAGGACTTTTTTGTGGGGTGTGTATCGCATCCCAGCATGCCTCCTGAGCTGGGGCACAGCAGATGCGAGCAGAGAAAAGATGATGGAAAAGGTGTTACAGTAAATGTTCATAAGATTTCATTGAAGCAGTTACATGAGCAGACCATCATAGACCAAACACAAGCCAACTCTTGCACTCAAGAACAAGTATTCGATCCGTCTCAAGGCACAGGTCAAGTGAAGATCCATGAATCCATGGCTTCAGGTGCCCCAGATTGCGTTAACATGTGCAAAGTATTCAGACCATTTAGATATAAATATGCCAATTTTTAAAATCGGCTATATCGCCTACGCACACAAGGTCCTTAATGCCGGATCCTTTGGGCTCAAAGATTCCAGCACAATGTAGCAGAGCGCTCTCTCAAAAAGTGCTCCAGATTCGCGCAAAAAGTCCGTACACAATTTCGCGCAAACTCACATGTGCGCAAACTCACATGTGGTTGCAGGTTCTGTTGAGCTCCTGCTTGTTTCTGGAATGTTTCAGTTTGAAGACCCGCGAGCTTGCAGACTCTTGTGTCGCCTGGCTGACACGGTGGACAGTCGGGACGGAGCGAAAAATCAGCGTGAGCTACTGAGCAATTTGCGCGGGATTGTTGCAGTTCTTTACCAGATTTTAACCGGGTAGTAGCTGTGAGATGGCTTCCATATATTATGATTCCTTTTCACTCACCATGTGGTTCCGTTTGGACATTTTGTCAACCGATGCTACGAGAACTCTTGCATCTCTCCTGATGCTACTAGTGAGCGTTATGCCCAAGGGTGGATGGTTTTATTGCCGAGGCAGCTTTGAAGAACCGACAGTCCTATTCCGCAGCTCGGCTGGAGAGACTTGAGGTGATTGCCACCTCCAAACCCACGGAACCCACAACAGCGAGGAAACGCGAAACGCATCGATGAAAGAAGCACCGCATCCCACGATGGAGGCTGTGAGCATCGGTGTTGGCACGCCGCCCCAGCATTTTGACTTGGTGGCTGATACTGGAAGCAGCGCAGTGATTGTCACGCACTGCGCCTGTCAAGAAGCCAGCTGCTACGGCTACAGCTCATCTTGCGTCTCGGTCAGGAGCCGATTTGGGGGCGGCGCACCGTCCTAAGGGCATGTGCACGCAGCTGAGATACGCTGAGATAGCATGTATGGTCTCAGGAAACGGACCTCTTCTTTTATTTGCTTTGGTTATAGGAGGGCAGTTTCTATCGTTGGAATCTCCTTCTGAGAGGGGCGTTTTGATGATCGTTTCTGCAAACAAATTTCATCCACCTTTGAAACGAGCTGACCTTATTCGCCTCGACGAAGGACCAACCGGGTGGGGCCGGGCCCTGAGGTTTCACGGGCACCAACCGCTCTGAGACCTTCGTTCTCCCCAAAGACTCTGAAGGACCAAATGAGTTGAATTCGGGAAACGGCCTCAAAAGGGGAAAGAGGATGGGAGAGGGCTCGTTCGCATGAGGTATTGAATCAATTTTGGTTGGTCAATGTTGGTCATAGTCATTTCTTGGGATTCTTTTTTCTATTTGCTCTAAATTGGTTTGGGTTTCTGTCCGCTCTTCTTTTGGGAGACGCATTGATGTGTTGGCCCTGGGCTTTCGTGCAAATTTTTGTTGCGCATGTTCTCTGCTGATGATCCCACACGCACATGCCCGTTGGAAGATGGTGGATTTGTGGGTGGGTGCGGGGTTCTTTGTGAGATGTTTCTTACATGACGCCACTTGGGAAGATGCGGGTATAACGATGTTTGCTTTCTTCGCGGCATTGCTAATGAGCTTTTGTAATTCGATAGGTTGGCTTCGTCTCGTCATCCACGAGGTTTCTCCATCTCAGATCTCCAGTAAGAGAACAAAACATTGAGATGTGAACTCGTGTTTGTATATGCAGGGGTTTAGCATGTGTTTTTGAACTAATATGGATATTATCTAGTAAAAGACGCGAGCTTCAGGTGCTGCATGGCCACTTTCTGATGAACATCGTGACATGTCATGTGAGGATTCCGCCAAAAACCGGAGTAGAACTCAAACAGAACACCAGTCGAAAAGCATGATGTCGAAGCATAAACCAAATAACAAAAAACACTTCAAAGATACAAGGGCAAATATCTGCGTGTGAGCTTGTTTTGAGACAGTGGGCCCAGCATTTTGTGAAGATCTCGAGATCCTGAAATGTCAGGAAAGCCTGCAAACAAGAATGTTAAGAGTAGAGCTGATCGGTCTTGGACCATATCCAATAGTCGATCTTGAACATGTGCGTGAAGCCAAGCGGAGATTTGTGGCCCACATGGGCGCCTCTGAATCCTTTGGGCACAGCTTCTAAGTGCCCAAGGTTTGTAGAAATCCTCATGAAAATGACCCTGCCAGAGCTATCTGGAAGCTCAGCAATATTGATGTGTTCTTCCATTGTTCCATGCAGACTCTAAGGAAACAAGCAGATGTTCTTGTTTAGAGCTGTTTATCAATAAGTGTTGCCGGACTGTCCAGGGTAGTTGTGGTTGTCTAAAGCCAAGTGACTGTGCAACGTCATGGCCTTGCGGCCTGACGGGCTCCAATTGAAGAAAGCCCATCTAGCAAGAAACAAACATGGCGGCATAGGGTGGAACGTCGCAAAATCCCACGCCTTTTGGAGCGCCTGTTTTCTTCCGCTTTCCTTGTTGCGACGTGTCAGACGTTAAACGTCCTAAGTAAGCTCGCCCAGCACCTCGCTTCTTCAATTTCCAGCATGGCTTGTCGATGCTTGCCGTGTGTAGGCAAGCCAACGAATAGAGGAGACCCTCACTTGCTGGCGATGGAGTTTGGCAGTGGAGTGATTTATGGGGTCCTGGCCACGGATGCGGCTTGTCAGTGCTTGGCAGAGGGTGCCCTTATCATTCTTTCGTAAGTCTGAAGCCCAGTTTGAGCGGTGTGTTACTATAAGACATATGCTGCATAAGTATGTACATATACATGTACTTAACAATGCCACTGGGTCACTTGTGACAACCACCCATTTCCGAACCTGTGGCATCATGATGCACGGTCCCGTTTTTTTTTAAATTTTTTTTTCCGGTGCGCCCGTGCCGTGTTTGCTCGTCATGATGGGATCCGATCTGCTCATTTCTTGGGCTGGTGGAATCGGCGCTGTCAAGCTGGTGGGACCGAGAAACATCACCACATGGGACCGAGACTTCTTACTAGTAGTAACAGGAAGCTAGTAGAAACAAGAAGTGCCTCGCTACTAGTAACAAGTGCCTTACTAGTAGTAACAAGAAGCTATTATATTAGAAACAAGAGTGAGTGGTTGGGTTTGCTTTTGAAGTGCCGGCATGTGGCCCAGGGGCCCAGCCATGCGGTTTGTCCCTCCGCGGGAGTCTGAGGTTTCAAGTCCCAGCGACCCCAGCAAGTGGTGTCCGGCCGACACTCAAAGGAGTTCAATTTGAAGTCAAAAATGGTGACAAGATAGATCAAGATGAATCAGAATACTGTCAGTTCATTTCATGATGCTTCTACAAAGTTGGGTGGAGGATCCCTAACTTACATCTATACTCACCAAAAAGTAGGTCAACTCCATAGAAGTGGACCATTTTAGACCATACCCGTTTTAGGTCCCCACCAGTCGACGACTCGGTCCGGTCCACGCGTTTTTGTTCAGGTGGTCTCTTTGGGCCCTGTGAAGGCCAGGATGAACGAATCCCTGGCTTCTTGGAAGAAGAAGGCGGAGGTTTTTGGGGGATTCGAACCTGATAACTTATAGCAACAATTGCTACAGGCAATAGCGAAAGGCGTGAACAATGCAAAAAAGTGAGCTGAACCTTCCAAAAAGAGACTTGTCCCCAGTCGGCACCGAGTTTGTGGGTGGTGATTGGAGGGAAAATGCAGAGAGAGAGAGAGGCCTGTCTATAAACCAACGAAACTCCGTGGTGCTCGAGAGAATTCCTCGGTTTGCCATTGAGCACTGCAGAAGAAACGCCGGCTCGTATGGGTGCAGAAGGCAGTTCTATGCGACTGTGGATGGACAAAGGGCAGCATCAGCTGGAACACCCAAGCAATGTTGAACCACAGCAAGCATCATTTTTGACAAACAACCTCCCCGGTTCCCGAGTAGCAGTTCGTCAACACTATGTGCTCCAAGATGGTACCCGGCTGATGCCTGAAAGTGTGAAAAACTCAGGTATTGATGTACGATCATCAGCTGGATTCTGGCATCACTGATTTCGAGGGCATTTTCGGGCTTGGCCTTCCCTACGGCGAGGCTTCTGCACAGTCCTGGCTCAGGCAAGCATCTCGGCTAAATGGGACCAGTCCCATGCATGGGACAATAGGTAAAACAATGTAACACACACACACGCACCTAATTTTTTTTTAAAAAATATATATATATATACACAATATATTTGACATCTCTTTCTACCAACCTGAAGCATTCTATCATTCTCATGCATTGAGGTCGGGGCCGTGATTTCAGTGGATGCATATTATCGGGTTCGGGGGAGGGCATTAGGGACAGGACCAAACCCTAACATCACTCGACATATCTCAAAACTGCATGAACATGCCTCATTCGATCAACTGAAGACCCTCAGGCGGCAGTTCAAAGTTTCTCTATGTGCTTCTCCAACTTCGAGGAGGACGGTGTTCTGCGGCTTTTGCGCGGTGCCAAGCACGAGCCGATGGAGGAGGCGGGCCATGGCAAACGGGAGGGGTTCGAGCAAACCCGATTGAGTCCTGCACCAAACTAACGGAATTCTTGAAATGCACCATTGCTACAGAAGATCGCACGTTTGATGCTTGAACTGGATTCGGTTTCTACGATGTTGGGTTAGCATTCCATTGGTTTTTGGAGTCCTATTGCGCCATCAAACATTGGTGAAGCTTTGTTATCAGTTGCTTCCTTGGGGACGCATTCTAGACCACTTCAACATACTTCAACTGCTTGTGCTGCAAGTGCTTTGCTGCGGGGGGTTACCTCTAAGTTGTGGTGGCTGGCCGGAAGAAATGCAACCCTGTTGGGATTTCATTGCGATGTGGATGTTTGGCTGAAGCAACGATGCACCTTTGGGAGCGCTAGCCACTGTTTGAAAGCATGCTTTGTGAACTTAGGCGTCCAGGTTGGCATGGTCCAACCTTCTCAATTTCTCTAAAACATGTGGAATACTAGATAATTTCGGGAAATTGTGTTTCTCTACGAGGGCGCCCAGGGTCCTCCAAGAACACTAGCAGATTCAGCTGCTCTTCTTTTTTTTTTTTGGGGTGTGTGTGTGTGTTTCAGGCAAGCATGCCAGTTGATGGATTGATTGTATCGAATTGTGTGTTCTGTGGGAGGCCTTGCAGATGAGGAATGTTGGGAAATACCACTGGGCTTTGAACTTCCACGGCATTTCCCTGGGCAACGCGACAACTCCCGTGCTTTTCTGTGGAGGCCGGATTGCAGATAGGGCTGGAGATTGACGTGCTTCCCCAGCATGTTTAGACTGGGCCCAGGTTCACCCGTTTAGGCTCAGTAGCCAGTGTACCTCCTGTGGTATTTCCTTGGGTAGGTGGGAAGTTCGAAGCAAAGGCCTTGCAAGAATCAGCCCTGATCCATCAACACTTGCAACTCTCAACTGTCCCAGAAACGCCTCGGCACAAGAGTTTACGCTTCTCCAAATTGATTTTGATTGTCATTTTGTTTCTTCACGTTTCTTTCCTCATTCCCGCCCAAGAAATAGGGGTGAAAGGAGTTTGTGGTGAACAATCAACAGTTTGGAACCACCACATACAGTACATATCATCATCGTCGTCATCGTCGTCATCATCATCATCATCATCATCATCACCGGCTGCTAGCCTTCGTGGTTCTCCGCGAAGCAGAACCCCTCACACGGTGTCTCCAGGTGCCAGCAGCTGTGGTTTGATCCCTGACTCCGGTTGCTCGATTTGCTGGATGTGATGCATGCACATCGGGCCACCAACTCGGGCGTTTTCCACCTGGATGCCATCACGAGCTATACATACACACGGAGAATGCAGCGGTATAGCTATATAGTAGATTGCATCAACAGATTCCGCGCACAACTGCATCCTGCGATAAAACCAAGCTATGGAACCCATCATTTTTTGAAATTGCTGTCGTAACGATGGTCAGACCGAAAGCAAGCCGCACCCCGTTAGCCACGATAGTCACTTAGTAATCACTGGTGAATGCAGATCATTGCATGTTTCAGTCGCTTGGTGCATTGTTGATCTCAAAGAATGTCGCCATTGTTGCCGGGCTTGCTTATGATGGTTTATCCTTCAGGGGTTCTTGTCTGAAGTGATATCGCAACCGCACTACCGCGATGGGCTTGGTGGAATGATACACGTGAAAGAGTCATGGACAATTTGAGGTCCTGGTCTCTGTGGTGACCCTTATTCCAGGGCTCTTGAATCATGGAACTGGGTTTAAGCCACAGGCACCTAGAGGTGCGACTTCCGCCACGACTCCGGCTTCAATCCACAGAGTTCGGGTGTGTCCGCCGAGACATCGACGGCCCACGATCGACATCTATAGACTATAACAGTTGCAGGCATGGGGGCAAGTTCAACGCGCTTCCGCACCGAGGTACTACCCTGATCTTGGGCCCTCCAGACCACCTCTTGGAGCTCTTTGCGTCCCTTTGCGACCGCTGGCCCCGCTGCGCGGCCGCGGCCGAGCGTGCGGCCAACGCCAGCTCAGCACAGTCAATCGGCATCAGCCACTTGGAAGCCCTATACGGCCAGATTCCGGGGGTTTGTTTTCCACGAAGTCACGATATGACAGGCATTGCTGACCGCTCAGATGAATACGGATCCCATCAATATGACCGTGGCGACCGAGGTGACTGGATCAAGCATGCGTTTGAGAGATGGGGATTGCCTCCCATCCGCTCACCTTTTGCACCAAGTCCGGCCACGGAGAGAAAGATGGAGACTCGGGCGACTGCGGTTTCTTTCGATCGCTGAATTCCTGGCCTGGCGTGCACCAAGATGGATGAATGAGGGATGTTTAAACGGGCAGTTGGTGCCAATTGGGGATGCCCACGGGCGTGCGGGCGTGTTTTTGTCATGTCAGAATCCAATGCTCCTGAATGTTCATGAATTTCACCTGTGCAGCCACAACCATGAGGATGTGCTGCAGCACCCCATGTGACCTTGTGTGTCTTCACATAGTTTATCAAGGATGCTAGGAAAAGAGGAAGGTGTGAAGAGGTTGGGCAGGGATTTGACTTGACCGGTTTTAACTCGGCCTTGCACTTTTGTGCGCTCTTTTGAAGTAATTATACTTCCAAGCAAACCCGGTTTAGGGTCAAGCCTCAAGGCATCCGGCTCTCCACTCCGCCTACTTGAATGGTCGGACGGTCCGGCTCTCCACTTTTGAAATCAACACTCTGCATCAGTGGTAGGTCACAGCGAATTCGCCATCACCTTGCCCGGAGTCGAATCTGCAAGGCTCTTCAGCACAAGGCCTGATCCACTCCAGTCTCCCCTCCCTTCCACAACTCCTTTTGACAAATTATATATAATCGGAATCAAATTACGACCAAACAAAAAGTCCTGACAACTGCTTGAACAAGAAGTTCATAGCGAACGCAACCATTGGACTGCTGAAGCATGAGCCTCCCACCCCCCGATGCCCTGGAAAAGAACACGGTTTTCCATGTTTTTCTCCGCCTTGGTGTCGCGACACAGGGCACGTGCACCCGTGGGGCATTCTGAGGCCAAGCGCGAGGCCTTCGAATCCTTGCTCTCCACCTGCAGTGCTTGGGCCAACTCTGCGGAAGACTTGGACGCTGAGCTGCCGGAGCTCCTGTGGCACGTCAGCGGCGCCGGGGATTCTCGCGGTGATGCGAATTCTGGGCAGCTCGGTGCTGCGGAGTTCAGCTGGTCTGCTAATTGAAAACCATCCGTTCCAAGACGTTTTTTTGCCCACCATCAAACTCCAGCTGTGTAGAACGTGACGGTCCGGGCTGCATGCGCTGCATGCACTGCAAGACTCAGGAATTCGCAGGTCCTGCGGATGCCTGGAAGTGCCTATGTGGTGGCTGTCGGCTATGAGGGGAGGATCCTGTGATAGAAATAAGTGTTGATCAGGGAGGCAGGCATGGAGGCCCGGTCTCCTCATTTTTCCGCTCAGCTCCAGAGCTGAGGAACCCCAGAGCTCAATATTCAATTGAGGTCTGTGATTATAGATGTCAGACATGGCCACTTCAAGGGGATGTTTGTGATTCCACAGGACATTCAGGTTGCTTCAGGTGATGGCAATTATGGTGACCTGTTGGAGATTGTTTGAGTATGAAGCCCGTTTGAGGATGGGTTGCGTGGCGTTCTTCGGGGAGATCGACTTGGTCACCCCGTCGGGGCCTGTGTGGATTCTGGGGAGCGCCATCTTCTATGAGTACGTGGTCAAGTACGAGTCTTGGAGTTCGGAACCTCTGAAACTCCATAGGTTCCATAGGTGGAACGTCACTCCCCCGGCTCTGCCGACTTCCCACCTTCAGAGGCCTCCAGAGGCCTTGAAACTGCAGTGGGCATTTTCCTCTACTTGACCAGTGTTTCCAGGTTTTGTTCGTTTGCGAGGGTGTAGGTGGTTGCCGTGGCCAGTCCCCAAACCTACTTGTACTGAGCCACGTGCAGGCCAGCCACTTGGGTGGTGAAACCAAGTATACTCCTGTGCGCTACAAGATGCAAGCAAAAGTTGAATGTTGCGAGGCAGCACACTGTCTGAGGACCTCTCACCAGACGCAGCCATCTCCTTCAGCAAGGGCCCCTGCAGCTCCTGCTCAACAGACACGGCCCTGGCCCTTGCTCGGCGAAAGTCAAGACAGTCTCGGCCTATCCGACGGCAGGATGTGGGGGTGGGGTGAGATTGTGGATTTCAAGCTGCTTGAAGGATTTGATTTGCTGGTGTTGTGTTTCATGGGCGCGTTCCTTTTTTTCCAAGCCTGCGGATGGGATGGGCTGTGGAAGAATGACCTTTGCCAGGAGTCTCCTGTGCGCATGCCTCGCTTCAATCATAGCAGGCTTTTGTGAGCGAGCCCCACGATGTGCGCGATACCAGACCATCAGCGAAGATGGAAAACGGCCCCCGTGATGAGGACCAAGTGGGACCTGTAGTAGGGGAGCGATGAGAAACACCTCACTTCCAGCAGGGAATACGCCACAGGAAGAGCAGAGTGGACAGATGTGGGCTTCCCACATTGAGAGTGAACGGTCAGGTGATGCAGGATACGGATCTGATGATGATCATATAATATAATGGTGACCTGTAGGTGCATGTATCATATTGGCCAGAATTCCGGATGTTAATGTTGACATCTACGTTGTTGTATAGGACCAAATGACAACCATGGACCAGTAGGGATATCGCATTGGATTTCAGGATGTACGACATGTTGACGAACGACATCTTGCACCTTCGACTCACACACCCGGTAAACAACAAAGAGAAAAACAGTGATGCCGATCGAAGACCGGGGTGGTTTTGAACTGGTCCCCCAGAATTCCACATGCTGTCCTTGAACCTACTTCTTCACCCTCACAACTTTGTCTCCAAGCACTGGTAGGTTCCCAGGGCCCTGGGACTGGTTTGTAGTAAATGTTACTACTACTACTACTACTACTACTACTACTACTACTACTACTACTA